TGTTGTCTCAAGCCAAACTCCCCTTTGAAGGTCACGCGTCGATTCTAAATGATGGTAAAAGTTTGATCATAATTCAATGGGTTTGACTTAAGCTTGTAAATTGCTAGGATATACGTACATTTTAGAGGTATTTATATATTAGTACTTATATTAATAGAATTTTTTTGTTCGTATAGTTTATAGGATATAAGTTATGTATGTTTGTGTGTACGTATGTATAGAAATCTTTTTGACACTACGAAACTTTGTCAAGTTATTATTTATCAAACGTTGAGATATGGAAATATTTGTACTGAAATGACAAATCCTATCGTTAGTATTCTCATATACTTTTTAATACTAATTTTTCAACTATTGTAAATATTGATATATCTTCTTTCCACTAAATGAATCGATTCTACGTACTCATATGTTTTGTTGGTACAAAACAAAGTGAGAGAAAGTTGGTTCTATTAGCAATTCATAAGATATCCAAAACTATTAGAAATCTACATATAACAGAATTGTAACATCTCTCCATACTCTCATAAAACTGCATTGAATACCCATATTTATCTTTGCATAAATAATATAGTAACATAAGTTATTTACTGCGGCTTTGCTCGCATGGTTAGTAGGACGGCGATGAAAGGTAGCCTGTGTTTGCCTATTGCCTGCCTTTGTCATATAAATCTGTTCAGCGGTTTTAAACGTTATATGTAACAAACAGCCAATACTACTTTTACCTTTATAATATTAAGTATTGATTGTAAGCAACATGCTTGATTTAAAACTGATTTCAAAAAAATAGGACGTTCTTAATTCAAATGTATGTATGTTTTTTGTATATATTATATACTAGCGGCTCACTCTCGCTACACTCGGGTTCGCCTCCAGGAAAACAAAAACAACTTATCCCACGGGAACCGTACATTTTTCCGGAATAAAAAGTAGCCTATATGTTATTAAAGACTATAATCTATCTCTTTGTTCTGACGTGAAAGAGTAACAAACATCTATACTCACAAACCTGCACATTTATAATATTTATTCTTTATTAATAAAATAATGATTATTTTTCTTCAAATCAATTTTCATGTTAATACACTCGAAACGTGCCACTTAAATAAATTACTTCTAAATATCATATAGAAGAGATGACTTTTATTTTTTAATAAATATTCAAAGTCCTATTCTAGCTGTCAATACTTTTTTTCTAGTATATTATGTAGTTTCTTGCAGGTATGTATAGATAATAATGATTATCTATACATATAATAAAATTCTAACTAAGCCGAATCTGTACATGAAGTGAAGACTCTGGAAAATCTAATTGAAATAGACATTATTATCTATACAGAGGTCGAATCTATAGTTTTTAGAATTTTTGTCTGTCTGTCTCTTACCGCATCACGGAAAAACCACTGGACGGATTTTGATGAAATTTGGTATGATCATAGCTGGTTATCCGGGTCAACATATAAGATACTTTTTATTGCGGCAAAATATCTCATTTCTGAGAAATTTATAACTAAATGTTAAAACGTAAGTAGGGACGAACCCGAGCGGAGCGAGGGTGAGTCGCTAGTAATATATAAATATGTATATGTAGTAGCTTTACCAATGTAGATATATCTCCACGAGCAAAACTGCTGGCAGTTACTAGTAACTTTGTAAACTAATTCGCATTATTTAACACTCCGTTTAGTAATATCCAATTTAATCTAAAAATACTTAAGTACATAAATTCTTATGTTTTAGTTTAAAAACATTCGCGTATCTAGGCTATTTGGGTGATCTAGGTTATGTGAGACCAATTTACTAAGTGTCACTTCGCAATCAAGAGATTGCAGTCGGACAGGCGTCAGATATCCGTAATCATGAAGAAAGAAAATTTTATAGCTATGGGAAGGTCAAAGGTAGAAATGTGAAGTAGCTTTCTTTCAATATCAATCACTGTAATAGTCTATACTTCGATATATCCATTCTAATCCGTATTAATATTATAAATGTGAAAGTTCGTGAGTATGAATGGATGTTTGTTGCTCTTTAACGCCAAAACGGCGCAACGGATCTGGATGAAATTTGACACAGACATAGATTATAGTCTATAGTACGGGAACCGTATATTTTTCGTGGGATAGATTTGGTTTTGTTTTTCACTAGGGAAGAACCTGAAGCGAAGCGAGGGTGAGTTGCTAGTATATTATAAACGAGTAAGTTTGCGGACAACTTTGTATGTTTGTACTTCTTGATTTATATAATTAAAAAAAATCTGTTAATTTTAATAGGTTGATGGAGATGGTCATCTATAATAATTATTATGCTTAAAGGCAAAATATAAATGGCACCGCCGTCTATACGTGCCCTCTGAGGCACGGTGATGTAACACCATCCACCCAGATCCGAGTTGCTACTGAGTTTCTCGTAACAGAAAAAAACCCAGTGACTATTTCGACCCAACTTTGTATTCAAACCCAGGACCCCACGGTCCGCAGTCGTAAATGGCCATTAAACCACTAATTCAGTTAATAAATAGTAAGTGCATGACAATAATGTATGACTAATAACAATATTAAACCTATAAAAAGAAAAAACGAAAACAAAATATTAATAATGTACCCACTTTTTACGTCCTATTTATTACTATGCGTGTAATTTGCCTTCGTAAGAGTTTTATAGACATTACGCATGTATTATAACAAGGTAATTCAAATTTCAAATAGAAGTCTTTATTGATAAAAAGTAGCCTGAGTTAATAATTCAATCGTAATAGCGTAAAAATCTTACAAACTCACTAAAAAACTCAAAAACTTTCGGTTTTATAATTAAGTGGACTTACACAAGACTCTGTTACACCTAAATTACTATTATGAGATTTCTTAACTAAGCGATATATCACAGAGCATCCGTTTAAATTGGCCCGCGACGGCACTGTTTCTACATAGTTTTTTTTTTCAATTTTTTTTTTATAACGAATTAATTAATTTCTGCATAGTTACGTCTCTACATAGGTAATTATTTTCATACGTATATTAGCCTAATATGTTATCGATGTAAAGGTAATACTTTCTTAAAATACGAATATTTGAAATTTTAAATTAAACTATCTTTAAAACGGGATCTCTCCCGTGACCACTGACCATGAAACTTCGGAAACCAAAAAATCAAAATAAATTCGCGAAAAAATCGAAAATATAGTTTTATTAAAATAATGTAAAGGTAATATAATATTTAGCTTAAGAGCTTAATCTAGGTTAAGTCATAAATCAATGAAAAAATATAAATGTACTGGCGACTCACTCTCGCTCCGCTCGGGTTCGCTCCTAGGTACGTTTTAAAGGTTAATATAGATTTCTCAGAGGAAAGATATTTCCCGTAGTAAAAAAAATATCCTGTATGTTGACCCGGTGACTAGCTATAATCATACCAAATTTCATCAAAATCTGTCTAGTCGTTTTCTCGTGAAGCGTTCGAAGACAGACAGACAAAAATTCACACATATATATATATATATTATATATATATATATATATATATGTATATATATAATACATTAAAAAGTGAACGGGGCAAAACTAAACACGCATTTGTACAATAAAATACAATTAAGATATATTATGCGCTGTAGTTATTAATTATCAATCTTATAAAATTGTCTAAGCCCAAGTTAGGATTTAATTGATTGTAAGTATCTTTTAAGCTTATTTGGCGATATTAGTCAGCTTTAAAGATACTATCCATAGCTTTTATAGCGCCGTGGAAATGTTTTGTTTTGTTTATTAATATAACTTTAAAAGAAAAAGAAAACAAATGATTTTAAAGTTGCCTTATCTGTTATCATGTCATTGAATGGTTACCTATCAACGTATATGTTTTTTTGAATATTGCTTGACCGGCATAATCATTAAGCTTCACAATAAAATATTATTTTGTAATAATAATAATAATAATCATACCAATATTAGATATTAACTAGAAACTCACCCTCGCTTTGCTCGGGCTCGTTTCTAGGTACGTTTTAGCGGTTTCTATAGAATGGATAGAATATATATTATATATGATATATAGCCTATAGCCTTCCTCAATTAACGGCCTATCTAATGCAAAAAAAATTTTCAAATCGGATTTATAGTTCCTGAGATTAGCGCGTTCTAACAAACAAACTCTGCCTCTTTATAATATTAGATGAAGTTGTATTAACAACAATAGATCTGCCATGGCTATAGTGAAACTTTGAAGCCGTATCAAATATTAAAATATAATAAAAGTAGGCAAGAATCTCAATGGACCCAACCAGTTTTTTCATAATTACGAAACACGTCAGGGCAAGTCGTGGTTTTAAAAAATGAGATTTTAAAGAAAATATAAGTTATTTATTTAATACTCTGTCTAAAAATAAAATTGTTACTAACTATACATTGTTTCTAACTATACATTGTACATATAAAAATATCAAAGAAAGAAAGCATCAAAAATTCAGCAACGATATAGCGCTATATTTTTGGTACGCAGTAAACTTACTTGGATAACAAGGTCAATACTAGAGTACGTTTGACCGCTTTTTAGTTGCATTTTAAATAGCAATTTTTATGTCATTTAGTACACTCATTTTCTGGCATGAATCATTATTATATATAACTACAGATGTAGGGAAGTTCTGTCTGTGTGTAAAATATAAGAAATTCTATTACAGTTTAAAATTTGATAATTCAAATAATGCTTAGATATCCGATATTAAAAAAATAGCAGTTATGTAAAGAAAAACATTTATTTTGTCATATTTTAAATAAATTTACATAATAGAAGATTACATTTTACATAAAGATTGAAACATATAATATCTTTTATAACTAATTTAATATGTAACATTTTTAATATAATTGGCACATTTAAATATATTACAAAATTTCACAATTAAGTTAATAACAAATTAAAATCTAAAAATATTTTAACTTTTACATAGAAAGGTACTGAGTAAATTATTGTATCGAAAGAAGAGTTTGGAACAAATTTGACTAGGAATCAGGGAGAGGTATGACTGTCGTTTTTGACATAGGTATCATATTTATATTTGATTCTCCATTTGTATTAATGGTTGATTCAGTGAACGATATATTATTTAGATTTGGTTCTATACCAGGTATGGTGATGATGATTGGTTCTGAATCTGAATTCGGAAAATTATTGGTAAAAATATCTGTAAAAGTATGACTAGGAATGGTCTCTGATATAGTTATTTGGGTTGGTATGTTATAGGTAAATTCCTTTTCTGGAGAAGAAACATTTTTTATAAATGACTGTGAATACGTGTCGATATTAGCTTCAAAACTAGTATCAATCGAGGTATTCGTAGAAGGAAGGGTTGTCATAGCATGTGGTATAGAGATAGTATTGAAAATTGTTTTGCTATTAGTAAAGGTAATGATACCATTCGTTGTCTTTGTTGGATAAAAGTCAATTATTGACTCTAATGGCATCAAAGTATTTGTTATAGAATCCAAAGTAGAAATGTTATTATAAATTGGATCTGAATTTGGAAATATCACGTGAGCTGGTTCTGAAGGAGGAAAATTCATAACTTGAGTAATTTGAAGGTTTGTTGGTTGGAGTTGTTGACTTCGTTCCAGAATAGTGAAAGAATTGATTAATGATTGCAGAGAGTTATTAGAAGTATTAATATCTGAATCTGATATAACTATATTATCAAATATCGGTTCTGAAACAGAAGTAGCCATCATAATCGATTCAGGAGGAGAATACATATCCATAGTAAATTCAATAGAAGAAACATTAGTATATACTCGTACCATTGATAAATGTTTCGAGTAATAGTTGGTAGCCAATTCTGAAGTAGAAATATTATTAATCAACATCTCAGTAGTACAAAAAGTATCATTTGCAGATTTCGAATCATCAAGAGATTTAATTAGTGGTTCTGTAACAACTAAAGTTTCAAGCTTTGAATCCGAACATGTGATTTGATCAAATAATGGTTCCGATGCAATAACACCATTGATATTTGACTCGACAGACTCTGAAATATTCACATTTGATTCCAAACCAGGAGAAGTAATTGTTTCTAAAGTAGACAATGTATGCTTATTTCTAATTCTTTTTTCATATTTATTTTCTACTCCCAAGAATCTTTCCAAATCTTCTTCAACTAATAGAGAACATGAATTTTGCATTTCAAGCCCTAATTTAATAGTGTCTCCAAAGAGCGCTTTATATGGATTCTGTAAGATATCATAATTATAACTTTTGTTTTTCATTAACTGTATAAAGGTTACACCAATACTCCATTGTAGGGTATCGTTTTGCTGCATCCATTCCATTAATTTTGCTTTTATATCCTTGATAATATTTTCCATATACACATCTTCTTTACCTTTATAATTTCCATAAACAATTTTAAATGTTGGCCATTTTCTCAAATATTCAAGAATTTGTTTTACATAATCTATGTTGTTATAGTAACTTAAAATAGCAGGTGCTCCGAAAACTGAAAATATATTTAATAAATTATATGCCACCTCACTAGGTCGGTCTGTTATCAGTGGTTTCAGTATAATGAATTTCGTTAATAAATCTTGATAAACCAGAAGAAAGTTGTATTCGCGGTCGGGGCTAGTCTGGAAATCAATTAAAGTAATTTGAGCCCGAGGGAGAGATTTCAAAGGTTTCTGTTGACACTGCTCGCAAAGTTTTAAATAAAGTTCGATGACATTACGAGTAATATTTTTGTATCGAGTGCGAAGAACTGTCCCCATACGTTCCCGTCCGACGTGACCAATGTACCAACGTGTACCTCATGGACTGCGTTGAACAACTCTCCATCCGATAGATACAATAACGCCGGACTACTATTTGGATAAATTAATTTATTTACACCCTTAACATTCAATATATCGTAGGTTTTCAACAACCAGAATTCATGCGCCGTTTTTTCTAAGCTCGCTCTTGCTTTTGGGATGTCCTCTAATATTTGCTGATAACGCTTATCGCTTATACTCACAACCTCTTTGGGCGGGTTCGAGCGTCGGTAGTATTCGAGTTGTTCGTAAAATCGATTTTTCATGAGCGCAGCGTTGAAATCGTCCGCCATGACGCAACGTGCATCCGTAGCGCTTGATCACGGAACACTAACGAGCCTTCATCCCCCAACCCCATCCCGCTATCCTTTCATAGCTACAAGTACTATTTTATATATTATATTACTCTATTGGTGATTTTATAATTCCTAGAAAAGGGTGTAATATTTTTAAGTTTTTATTTTTAAATATACGAAACGTATTACGTGTAGAATTGAGTTTTGCGTTAAATTTATAGACGACATAGATATAAAAGATAAATTTAATTTAATAGATATATAAATTAGAAAAAAACAATAAGATAATTTGACAACTGTCATATTTGAAAAGATTTATACTTAATCTTTTACATGAATATCAAGTGAAAATTAATGAAACAAGATTATTATGTTTCGTTAATCGATATATTTCCAGTAAAAACATATTTTAGATAGAAATAAATAAGTAAATAAAAATAAAAATACTCTAAATAAAGTGATATCGATAAATTTGCAGGGATTTTTTTATAAAAAAATATATTTTTCAAAGCCAAATTCGTAAAATAACGACAACTGTTAAAATCATTCATATTGTCTTTATATATGACTATTATAAATGTGAAAGTATATAAGATTTATAAGATTTTATTTGTAAAGTTTGGTCTTTTTTAGCGCAGCAACAGATAAACGATATCTTTTTATCGATACAAATGTTTTATAGGCCATAGAGTAACATGGTTATGCTATTTTATGGCCTGTAATGTGTAGATTTATTTATGGCATAAATTATATACAATAACTCCATTGGGATATTACTTCATTGGAAGATTGATGTCTCCAATCAATCTTCAATCATCAAGTCTTACACTGAACGTTAAAGAATATTATCACCATCAAGAAATTGAATGGAAGACATAAATAAGCGTTGCCGTAAAATATAAAAAAGTGTAATCTTACTAATATTATAAATGTGAAAGTTTAGATGGATGTTTGGATGTTTGTTACTTAATCACGCCAGAACAGCTGAACGGATCCGGGTAAAATTTGGCACAGATATATGTAGATTATGGTCTGAAATAGCACATAGGCTACATTTCATCCTGGAAAAATGTACAGTTGCCGTGGGATAGATTAGTTTCTATCTACATAAATTAATTTCCAGAAATAAAATGTGAAGTGGAAAACCTAACTTTAAATAAAGCATGTTGTTTTAAAATGAAAACCTTGTTTGTGTCACATGAGACATTTGGCACTATTTACTACGTAGCTGTGGATTCGATTCTATAAGTAGACATTTTTTAAATTAATTTATTCTTTTCCTTTATATTAAGTCTTTCATAATTTATGGTTTTAGTTTATAACTTTTAGTTGATGATACAGTTCTTCATCTGGTTATTCCACCGACATTAAATCCGCCTATGTCGCAGCGCAGTTGTACGTATCTACGAGTATGTGTCTATACAGTATTTAATAAAAATTAACAACATTTTCTCTATCTACTTCCCAAAAGATGATATACAATTATCAACCGACTTCAAAAAGGAGGAGGTTCTCAATTCGACTGTATGTTTTTTTTTTTTTTTTTTATGTTTGTTACCTCAGAACTCCGTCATTTATTAACCGATTTGGACAATTTTTGTTTTGTTTGAAAGGGTGTACTTCCAGATTGGTCCCATTTAAATTTCAAAAAAAAATACCACCCCTAAGGGTGGAAAAACAACTAATGATGAATTTAACCTACTTCTAATTGTCATATTGACTTGAAACTTTGCAAGTATTTCTATTTCCGTTGATAGTACAGTGGTTCGGTGTTGTTGACCTGATCTGATGGCAAGGCCACAAGGTGGATAGGTGGAACTCTTCAACGGCTAATAGTAGATACTTTGAGTTTGGGCTTATTTTGTTTGATTTGACAAGCCTAACACGTTAGAATCCTTACTTTGCTACTACTGTCTACACTAAAAAGGGAAAAAATAAAAACTTTTTAACAAAAAAATAAAAACCGACTTCAAACAAAAGCACTAAAAAGTAACAAATAACTGATTGGTAGTTTTCATTTACTATACATACCTAATCAAATATTTTCGAAGTCGGTGTGCTTTGGCTAAGTAATTAAAGCCTACCTATTAAATACATACCTAATCAAATATTTTCGAAATCGGTGCCAGCCCATACAAAGCTAAGCACACCGACTTCGAAAATATTTGATTAGGTATGTATAGTAAATGAAAACTACCAATCAGTTATTTGTTACTTTTTAGTGCTTTTGTTTGAAGTCGGTTTTTATTTTTTTGTTAAAAAGTTTTTTTTAAATTGATAATTACCAACCGATATAATAAAAGGATCCCGACCTTTTAAATATCTTACAAAAATCCTTTCTTCGTGGGCCATAAACACTTAAAACTATCATTTCTCTTTATGAAAACAACTGTAATCGTTTTTGGAGATTTCGCGATCAACCATGCAGTGTGTAAATGGCTTTTATATTAAGGCTTGTTCAGTTTTTTATATATCAGCAATCAGCATAACAAAAAGAGTCACATGAAAATACATCGCGTATATCTTGAAATATTAGGGTGTAGTACAATGTACATGGATACGATAAGCATAAAAATGCAGTCTAAAAATCTATTTCACGACTTCCATGTGCATTCAATTTACATTAAAATTATTATTATTATACGTGTACTCGTAATAAATCGGTTGGATTCGGTCATTGTAGCTACTAAACAACAAGTTTTTGTCCACGGCTCTGCTCACGTAGTGTTTTTTTTGTTGGGACATTAACACACAGCATCATCTAGTTCCATGGTAAGCTACGAGGCTTGTGTTATGGATACCAGATAGTTAATACACTACACGTATATAACTTTAAATACATACGTATTATTTAATATAAATCTAATATAAACATCCATGGATAGAGTACAAATATTCGTGCTCATCATACAAATGTATGCACCCAGCGGGACTAGAATCTGCGAACGCTGGCACAGCAAGGTCACTATAAACTAAACCAAACGTGTCGTCATCTCGTCATACTGTCGGTGTAAGTACATGTCAATTCAAATCCTTTAAGTCATTACAGCGCAAATCTATACATATAATTAAATTGTAACTAAGTCGAATCTGTACATTAAATATTCTTTGGAAAATCTTATTGAAATAGACATTATTATCGATACAGAGGCCGAATCTATAGTTTTTAGAATGTCTGTCTGTCTGTTCGTCCGTCAGTCCGTCCGTCCGTCTGTCTGTCTGTTACCGCATCACAGAAAAATCACTGGAGGGATTTTGATGAAATTTGGTATGGTGATAGTTGGTTATCCGGGTCAACAAATAGGATATTTTTTACCGCGGGAAAATGTCTTATTTCTGAGACAAAATACAAAAACAGCAATGTAAGAGTATACTAATATGTAAAACCTAAGAATTTGGATTTCGGTCATGTGAACGCGGGCGGAGATTTTGGTCAAGTAAAACCTAACATAATAAATCAACGACTACTATTTTAAATGCAATTAAAATTATGTACGTCTGTATGTTTGTTACTCCTTCACACTGGAACGGCTGGACGGATTTGAAATAAGTTTAGTACACAGATATACATGAAGTAATACAACGATACCTAGAGCACCAAGCGAAGTAAGGGTAACTCGCTAGTACTATAAGAACGGAAATATAACTGGAGTTATTGGACTACTTTGAAAGGCACAGTGTAAATAGCGGTAGAAACCCCTATAATATCGAATACTAACGACAAAATTCAAATAGAATGACATGCTACGATATTATTTCCGGACTCGTAGCCTTCAATCAATTAAACAATATAATATAAAATAATCGAGGCTCAACATGTAAACTATGAAAATTCGCATAATAATATTATAATGGTACTAGCGGCTCACCCTCGCTTAGCTCGGGTTCACCTCTAGGAAAACAAAAATGACCTATCCCACTTGAACCGTACATTTTTCCGGGATAAAAATTAGCCTATGTGTTATTCCAAGACTATAATTTATCTTTGTACCACATCCAGATCCGTTCAGATGTTCTGGCGTGAAAGAGTAATAAACATCCATACTCACAAACTTTCACATTTATAATATTAATACGGATTGAAATAAAAAAAAAAGTCGTAATGGTCACGCGCGGTCGCTTGTCCAAATGTCAAAATTTAAACAAAGCGGGTCCAAATTCGGGTCTCGCACCTTTGACATTTTCATGCGCGTAGCATTTTCAATTTTCACTACATATGGTGACAGGAAACATCTTGAACCTACATGTTTGACAGAACCTATTTAGTTATCGAAGACGTAAGAAATCTGCCAGCGCACTTAGCCAGCGTTGAGAACTATGGACTGATGTGTCTCGCATTGATGGAAGGTCTGTACCCAGCAGTGGGCCGTTAAACGGGCTAAATTGTTAGATTATTTATTAAAAATTGAAAAAAAACCTAAGAAGTAATGCTTACATGTTTTAAACTACGGGAATAAGCTAGTTTACTTCATAGTAAATATCCTAAATCATATAGCATGGTTACTGGCACACTGTATCAGAATATATTATTTGAGGAGAATGAACACAGTAATTCACAATGCTGTGCCATATTTCTGAACAGAAAGTGGAACAGCCGAACTGGGAATTAAAGTTGCTACCTCCAGAATACACTATCAGTCACTCATATGACAATTTTTACCAACCTAAATAAAAGATACTCAATTTAGCTGTTTCTTTTTTTTTCGTGACGTCACTCGATATCATCGCCAATTATAAATCGATCTTCTTCATTATTTTTAATAAATACATACCAATTGTGCTTCCAAAAAAAATCCACCCCAAAGAGTGGAATAACTTTAAAAAAAAAAAAAAAAATTATTTTCTGATTATTTCGCGGATTTATTTTGATATTTTGTTCCCGACGTTTCGAATACTTTATAGCAGGTTTTAGACTTAAGACGTTCGGATTATACAATAGGAATATTATTATGATTCACCTAATGGTCGAAATTGTACATAATAATATCTTCTTCCTA